ATAAAGTTCAATTCTCTACGTATGATTATAAAATGTTTGTCGTGGATAACAAAGAAATATAAGAAAAAAAGATACTATATGGATTCAAGTGTTAGATTTTTAAAGTGCTCATGGTATAAATTTATGAGTGTTTTAAAAAAAATTCATTTTCCGTACTTAAAATAATAATTTTCAATATGAACATTACATAAAATTTTTTAAAAATGTATACATTTTTATGAAATTTATAACTGTGTCTGAAAATTATTTGCATTTAGTCCTTTAGGCTCATTACGTCCCTTGATTAGAAAAACACAGTTACTTCCCTTTAAAAAATCTTCGGGTGGAACAGAATTTACTTTTTATTACTTTGTTCTGGTGTTGGGAAAAAAATAATTACATAATTAGCGGGGATTGATCAAGTGCAAATGTTGTAGGTATTTTAATACTGCCTTTAATTTATTCTATACACTGAACGTACTTTTTACTAATTATTTTTTAAAATCAATAACTGTTCTTCTTCTTCTTCTTCGTTCTTAATTATTAGTGTTGAAGGGGATCGAGATTTATCTGCCAGTGGGTTTAAACTCGAGACTTTTTTCGTATTTATCAACCATGACCTTTTTGCCGACTCGACCACGCCTCCAACACAATTAAGCATTACTTGTCAACTTGTTATGCGCCATTGAGGCCATTGACTCCGATTTCAGCCTGCTTTTCTTTATGGATTTGCTTCCATAGCCTTTGTCCAACCAAGAACAAACTACAAGGCAGCAGTTGTTTGATTTTGGAGTTGTCTCTCCTAGAAGAGTGGCTGTCCCCAGCTAACGAGCCTCATCTGCCCGAACTCGAGATTTTTCGGTTAGCAACCATGAGCTTTACCGACTCGACCACGCCAACCCCTAAATAACTGTGTCCTATATGTTTATTTCTTTCCGTTTACGGATAAGCTTGGAGTAGTATAATTGTTCATTAAATTGAAACAGGCGCGTCCGCCGGCGCCCCACAAGGGTTCAATTTGGCGCCCTGAGCTATCCTGGGAGCACTATGGTGCATCATTTCGCTTTAAACAGTGCGATCGAGTATGGATAAAAAAGGTTACTATAGTTTTTACGTGAATCGAATCCGGGAGTCCTCCGGCGCCCAGACCGCGTGCTATTTGGGGCCCCGGCATTCCCGTGTTCGGTTTGGCGCCTACGTTCGTTTAAGTGAGTGCAAAAGACTATGAATAAGTTGGGGTATTATAGTCGTTTATTAAGCTGAAACATGCGATTCCGCCCCAGCATGGCGCGATTTGGTGCCCCGGGCTAGACTGTAAGTACTTTGCCTTTATGTTCGCGTTTGTGTTTTCTTTGTGATTAGGTTGGGTTTGCGTTAGTGGTTGGGTTTGCGTTTTGATTTGGTTCGTTTTCGTTCTTTCTTTTTCGTTTTCGTTTGTGTTTTTTCTTTTGGTTTGTGTTTGTATTTGTGTTTGTGTTTGTGGTTGGTTTTGTGTTTTCGTTTGTATGTGTGGTTGGGTTTGTGTTTGTGTTATCGTTTGTGTTATCGTTTGTATTAGTGTTTGCGTTATGTTATGTTTCCTTTCTTTTTTTGTGTTTTGGTTTTGGTTGGTTGTGGTTAGGGTGGGCAATGCCGGGTATATGCTGATTACTAAACACACATGTCATGTTTCTTTACAGATAGGTTTCAGAAAGCTCTTTTATAGAGACCTGCACCAAACTACAAGAAGATATACAATGTTATATGATACTAGCCGTCCCGGTTTGTGTTGTGTTGTGTTTTTGTGTTGTGTTCTGTTTTGTTTGTGATGTGTTGTTATTGTATTGTGTTGTGGTTGTGTTGTGTTTGTGTTGTGTTTGTGTGTGTTATGTTGGCGGTTCTTTTTTTTGAGTGTTTTGGTTTTGGTTCGTTGTGCTTAGGGTGGGCAATGCCGGGTATATGCTGATTACAAAACACATATGTCATGGTCCTTTACAGATAGCGTTTTCACAGAGGCCAGAACAGGACCTGGCCGGGACGGCTAGTATATATATATATATATATATATATATATATATATATATATATATATATATATATATATATATGTATATATATATATATATATATATATATATGTTGCTTTTTTAAAATTACATTTTTCTTTTAATGTTTGAGGGAAAACAATCGTCTTAATAGCTGATTTTACAAGATTTTTAACTTTTTTGACATTGATATTTCGATTAGGAACTACAGTTTTTGTCAGATATGTTATAACCAGTACTACAAGTTACCACCAGCTCATACAGCAAACATACAAACCCGCTTGAAAAGGGGGAATTAACGTTAATGCGCAGCATTAGGACGAAGCTTTTACCGCGTTTTTTACGTGAGATTAGGTACTGAGACACCATCCTGAAAACTGCAAGGGCGTGCGGTTGGGTATTTACGTGACGGAATGCGCTTTAAAATCTTTATTGAAGTTTTAGTTAGCATTCATTAATTTAAAAAAAATATTTTGTATTAATTTCGTATCATAGTTTAAATGTAGAAATTACAATATAAACATTTTTTTTGTTTTAAATTAATTATATGAATAACGGCAAAAGCAGATTACAATAGACGGAAAATTATTGCCGGATCTAGTACATAACCCGTAGAGCAAGAAGAAAAAGGGTGTCCCATTGAGACATGAATCTAAGACGTGTTTGGGGGGGGGGGGGGGCGATATTGTGATGATAAGATGCAATAAAGGCTGTTCATACAATCTTGTTGACATGGATAAAAATAGTTTTTAAGTAAGTAAAGTAGAGCTAGAAGTAGAGGAATATTAACTCTAAATACTTTAACACTATCGAGGGGATTTTTAAAATTTATGTGGGAGTTTTGTTCTGGCAACGACTAGACGCGATAAACACATCCCTCACACACCAAGCCAATCTCACTCACCCCACCATTTAACAGCTGTTCATGTGTTTGCGCTTGAATGATTTTCCAGTTTATTAAAGTATGAAACTCAACCAACCAAATCAAACCGTTCGCGACATCCCCCCCCCCTTTCCCCCCCCCCCCCCCACACACACTACACAAAATTTCACATTCACCCTGAACTCACCACCACCCTTAAAATCACCCGAACCCCGCACCTTACCCGACCCCAAAATTAACTCAACCCCAAAAAATCTCCCAACCTCAAAACTTACCTCCACCCCAAACTTCACCCGACCCCCAACTCTCTCCCACACCAATAATAATCCTGACCCCTAACCTTGCCTCCCCCTAACCCACACGCCACCCCATCACTCCTACCCCACTCTCACTTCCTGTCCAATATTTCTGTAGTCAAGCATAAACAAGGGAGATAAAATGTGCGCGTAAAAAAAACCTTTCCATTAATCATGCTCCTTTAATATACGTCCTGTGTAACCATCACGAAGGGTGTCAAAAATACTAAAACAGTATTTAATCGTTCATCTTTACTCTACCTGCTTCATTAATCCTTCTAACTTTATAATCGTGAAATCCGGGCTAAATTTCAGAGGATTATATTATTTTTTTAAATACATAAGAATGTCGTCAGATTTAACCTAACCCTAACCCTTAGATCTCACCCCACCCAAAAAATCACCCCACCCCTGACCACACCCCCACCCTTAGATCACACCACTCCCCAAAAATCACACCACCCCTGACCACACCACTCCCCAAAAATCACACCACCCCTGACCACACCCCTCCCCAAAAATCACACCACCCCTGACCACACCCCTCCCCAAAAATCACACCACCCCTGACCACACCCCTCCCCAAAAATTCACACCACCCCTGACCACACCCCTCCCCAAAAATCACACCACCCCTGACCACACCCCTCCCCAAAAATCACACCACCCCTGACCACACCCCTCCCCAAAAATCAACACACCACATCTTACTTACCACTCTCATTACTACGTCAAAAAAAGTTCTAACATAAATGAGGGAGATAATATGGGCATAACGTTAAAATAAACTCCCTCTTCTGGTATTGTAGGTAATCGAAGTTGCTTGCAGATGATCCAGATACATCAAATATTTGAAGGAGGTAACTCTTCTTACTAAATTTATAGAAAAATAACCGTAGTTACGTCCCTTGTATTCTACAGACCATGCAAGCACGTCATTACAGAAACAGAAATATACATTTAATCTAACTTATCAAAAAGAAACAAGTTTATGTTAACATGGAGCTTTTTTAATTAAAAAAAATTTGATCCCAAACATAAGCGAAGCTTACAATTTTTTAAAATTATGTAATTTTTTCCAAGGTAACTAATAAACAAAATTATAAAAGCAAATGGAAATAATTAAAATGCATTGGATAATTTTAGATATCTAAATGACTCAAAGTTAAAACTTCCGTAGTTCCAATGTTATACAATGCAGATAACATTCATTAGTACATTTAAAATTTACGATTATAACTTCTCTTTAACATTAAGATTTTACTAATGTATTATCTTGTATAATTTACACTGGAAATGCATATAAGATTTAAAAAAAAACACCTTTTTAGCTAGCGAATTTAACATAAAGGAGTTTTAGTAAAATTATATCTATATTAGTGAACTACAACTCACACCACAATACATAAACTAACAGAAATTATAGCTATGTTAAAACAGTAATGTTCACTATTGAAGACCACCTAGTGAGGTCCGCTCAGTGTCGTAGCGAGGTGTCACCACCCAGAGGCATGGCGACCCTTCCCGGGGACAAACTATCGAATTTTCGATTTGAAAACCCCCCCCCCCTCAAACTTTCGATTTGCACCCCTCTCCCCCCCCCCCCCCCTCAAACTTTCGATTTGCACCCCTCTCCCCCCCCCCCTCAAACTTTCGATTTGCACCCCCCCCCATCAAGTTTTTCTCTATATATTTTGCAATTTTTTGCCTTGGTGTCACCCCCCTAAATGGTGTCACCCGGTGCGGTCCGCACCCCCCCCGCTCCCCCCCCTCCCTCGCTACGCCCCTGGGTCCGCTAACGATCACACTAATAAGGTCCACTGATCTTGTCCTTGTGCTCGTGTTGTATGATGGCCCGTGGGCTGACGGGTGGGGTGATGGTGATGTTCACTGGTGGCTGACCGTCTCCGTCAAGGATAGAACGTTTGCCAACATAACCACTGGAAGAAAGGATTAACGTAGAGCTTCTAATTTAGTAGATTCATAGTATACAATGTGTATAGGAGTAATAAGTTATAATGTTATATATATATATATATATCATAAAAATGTATTTGTGAGTTTAAATATCTTAAAATGTTTATAGTTCGGACTTAATGCAACTGAATATATTGTATGTTATGTCGGTAAATAATGAATTGTATGACCTTATCTTCTTCCTTTTCGTTCTTAATTCTAACTTTGGAAGGGATCCCCTCCAACATTATTAAGCATTACTTGTCAACTTGTTCTTCACAAATAGTTTGTTTACTCCGATTTCAGCCTGCTTTTCTTTTTGGACTTGCTTCCATGTCCAACCAAGAACAAACTACAAGGCAGCAGTTGTTTGATTTTGGAGTTGTCTCTCCTAGAAGAGTTGCTGTCCCCGGCTGACGAGCCTCAACTAACCGGTATATGGCCTTAATGAATGTGTTCTATACAGCTTAAATGTTGCACAACATGTGATTTACGGGTATTGTGGGACGAAGTGTCAGTGTGGGAATAGGCACACAAGTTGTTTAGACGAACGCAAATGAAAATACGATGCTTTGTATTGCATCCATTTTACATTAGTAGTTCATTTATAGTCGGCCCCAATCCTAAAGCGGTATAGAATTGGCTTGAATATAAAAAAAAGTTAAAGTTTCCCTTTCAAACTTGGTGGTCTATGGGGCAAGCGAAGTAGAGTTCGCTTATTTCTGCATATTATTATCGGCATATGAGGAGATAGTGTGGGGGACAACTGACTTGAACCCTGATTCGAACTCGACACTTACGGGTTAGCAGTCCAGCTCTCTACCGCTACACCACTCCGTCCCCCAAAATGACTTGAATGTACTAGGTACTTAAAACTCAAGTGAGTATTCGCATTCCATATACAGCCATGACATTGTGAAATAAACTAAAAGACTTACTAGCAATAGCCACAACAGAGGGTGCTCCCGTAGGACGGGCAGACCAAAGACTTTGGGTACAAACCACAGTCCTTGGATTTGTCTCCGTACTCACAACCTGCATGGGGAGGTTCAATTATTAGAACATGATTAGTACAGTTGTTGTATTGTGGGACCACGATTCTTGGATATATACCACTTTTATATTCCCAGATAATAATCAAAACACTTCTTTCATATTCACACACACAGCCTCCCTCACCTGTATTATGAATATGACATCTTTTTACACATACCAAGCAAACTCTCCGATTCTTTATATATATATATATATATATATATATATATATATATATATATATATATATATATATATATATATATATAATAGATATATAATAGATATATAATATAATATACATATACTATTAATAATCTTTTGCGATTAATCTGTAATTTCGTATTGATTAAGACCTAACCTAATCCATGCAATAAGTGTGCTATGAATAAGACCTAACCTAACCCCATCAGACAACGACTAACCCACACGTCCAGTGTAGTATTGCTTGCACGTGCCGCAGCAGGACTGCTGGACCGATGTGACGTAACAGTTGTAGTGGCTGCTGGGGGTCAAGAATCCCGGGCAGCTTCCGTTGTACGGAACAGATGGCAGTTCCAAATTGCTCTGGTCACCCCACACACAGTTGGCTGTACAGGTGGGGAGAAAGGTATGCAAAGTTCAAAGACATTCAAGATTTTTTTTCTTTTTTTTTATCTTTACCCTTCTTAAAATTGTTCACCGCTTCAAAAATTAAATTAAAATATCCATGATGTTTTGTACTTCAGACTTGTAAATTTAATTTCGACTTACGGTCCAGGTTTTGTGTAGCTGGAGTAGAGTCTGCTTGGCATGTTCCTGAGTTGCATCTCTATAATATAAAGAGTAAGTTTTCTGAGATCGGTACAGTATATGTATTGTCGTCCAATCATCGAACAAATGGCTTTTAACATATGCTGTGCTTATTTTTGTGTATAGTAGATTCATATTATGTACAATATATACAACTACTTTATTGGTTTATAAACAGGATGATTTTAAAATGTCAGTATCAATAAATATCTAACAACTTTTAACTATATTACCGGACGGTGTGGCCTAGCGTTAGAAAGGTAAACTGCAAATTCGGAAAAAAAATAAAACAAGTAAACCTTGAATCCGGATTCATTTCAATAGAATGTTCCTGAGTCCACCCAGCTCTGATGGGTACCTAACTAACTTTAACAAAACTGGCTTGCAATAAACAGTTTTTGGAGAAAAAAAAATGATAATTCCACTTAATTAAATTATTAATTGAGTGAGTTAAATGGTATTTTAAGAGCAAAGTTAACAAATCCGGACAAGGGGGGGGGGGGGGGGGGGACACCATGACGTAAACCTGCTAATAATAGAAAAAACATGCGACATCCAGTTGCATTTATAACTGACTATAGATAAAAATCGTTAGTATTATCTGAGCGCAGTTTAAAGCAATCACCTTCGGAGACATGGGGGGGGGGGGGGGGGGGGAAGCTGCATCAACTCAACGTTGCAACAAAATATGCTTGAAGAAAACGGTTTGGTTGAGAATCATAGTAACGTGTGTTTATCCATGTATGGGGTGGGGGAGGGGGGTAGAAATTAAATATATCCAGTTTTATACATATGCGTGTTCATATACTTACAAGAGTATGTAATATATATATATATATATATATATATATATATATATATATATATATATATATATATATATATATATATATATATATTTTTTTTTTTTTTGTTACGGGGGGGGGGGGTCAAAACCATTTGGTGGCGCACTGAATGACACCCGACCTCGCTACGCCATTAAGTTGACCCTTACCTTTTGTGTGTTACATGGGGTCCCATCAGACGGGAACATGGCAGTGCAGGTCAGGGGTACCAGGTACACGGCAGTAGATCTGAGAGCAGACGGCGTCACCGTTCAGTGGGGCTCAGGGTCTGTGGAGGTAATGAAAGGTCAGAGTTCATAGAGGGTCTGTGGAGGTAATGAAAGGTCAGAGTTCATAGAGAGTCTGTGGAGGTAATGAAAGGTCAGAGTTCATAGAGGGTCTGTGGAGGTAATACAAGGTCAGAGTTCATAGAGGGTCTGTGGAGGTAATACAAGGTCAGAGTTCATAGAGGTTCTGTGGAGGTAATGAAAGGTCAGAGTTCATAGAGGATCTGGGGAGGTAATGAAAGGTCAGAGTTCATAGAGGGTCTGGGGAGGTAATGAAAGGTCAGAGTTCATAGAGGATCTGGGGAGGTAATGAAAGGTCAGAGTTCATAGAGGGTCTGGGGAGGTAATGAAAGGTCAGAGTTCATAGAGGTTCTGTGGAGGTAATACAAGGTCAGAGTTCATAGCGGGTCTGTGGAGTAATAGGTCAGAGTTCATAGCGGGTCTGTGGAGGTAATGAAAGGTCAGAGTTCATAGAGGGTCTGTGGAGGTAATGAAAGGTCAGAGTTCATAGTTGGTCTGTGGAGGTAATGAAAGGTCAGAGTTCATAGAGAGTATGTGGAGGTAATGAAAGGTCAGAGTTCATAGAGGGTCTGTGGAGGTAATGAAAGGTCAGAGTTCATAGAGGGTCTGTGGAGGTAATGAAAGGTCAGAGTTCATAGCGGGTCTGTATAGTAGGTGCCATGAGAGTTCAGAGTTTATTGAGGTTATGTCGAGTAAGTGCAATGAAAGATTACATTTATTTGGTGGCCAACATTGAAGAAGAAATAAAATGTGTTTCGAATAAGGTTTAACTATGTCTTAAGATTTGAGGTAAAGGACAAACTTAAAAACAAACAAAAAAAAGTGTTTATTACCCTGCAGAAGGATGACTTTGGGGTGTTCAGTGCCCTCTGGCAGACGATGTCAGGGTTGAGCTCATCACCTGTGTAGGTACCGTAGGAGACAGGTAGTGTAGTGGACTGGCTGTTGGTGGTTAGCAGGCAGTTGGGTCTGTGGAGGGAAGGAATCAAAGTTAGTGCTGTGTAACTATGGTAGAGGGTTGGTGAATAGTAGTGTGATACTACGATAGGGTAGACTGGTAATAGTAAAATACTACGGTAGAGGGTAGACGGGTAGTAGTAAAATACTACGGTAGAAGGTAGACGGGTAGTAGTAAAAAACTACGGTAGAGGGTAGACGGGTAGTAGTAAAATACTACGGTAGAGGGTAGACGGGTAGTAGTAAAAAACTACAATAGAGGGTAGACGGGTAGTAGTAAAATACTACGGTAGAAGGTAGACGGGTAGTAGTAAAATACTACGGTAGAGGGTACACGGGTAATAGTAAAATACTACGGTAGAGGGTAGACGGGTAATAGTAAAATACTACGGTAGAGCGTAGACGAGTAATAGTAAAATACTACGGTAGAGGGTAGACGAGTAGTAGTAAAATACTACGGTAGAGGGTAGGAAGATAGTGCTGTCATACAGTGTATAATAGCAACTAGTGTTAAGATTAGCATAGTTTACAAACTTTTGAACGAAACACTGCTTAAATGAAAAATAAGGAGATGAAAAACACAGCTATGGTGCCATATTCCTCCAGAGTTTCTTTCAGGCATCCCACAGAGAAAGTCTATAGCCCCCCTCCCCCCCCCCCCCCGAACGAAATTGAATTTACATAGAAAACATATATTTTTACCGGATTCCCCCCCCCCCCCGGAAAATGTTGACCGCCCCCACCTCCTGAAAATATCAAACGCCCCCCCCCTCTCCTGGAGAAAAAAGTCTGGAAAAAACACTGTATTCCTCAGACAGGAGAGCTGAATATTGAAGATTTGTATGTAGACTTATAAGGAGCTGACTATTGAAAATGTGTATGTAGACTTATAAGGAGCTGATTAATTAAGCTTTTACGTAGACTTATTAGAAGCTGATTAATGAAGAATTGTATGTAGACATTAAAAGCTGATTCATGAAGAATTGTGTGTGTAGACTTATAAAGAGCTGATTACTAAAGATGTGACGTAAACTTACGAGAGCTGACTTATGGTCAGTTGTATGTAAAGGGCGGTAATGTATGAGTAGCTCCAACGTTTTGTCTGTGTCGCGTAGTTGTAGGCCGACATGATGTAGGATGTGGAAAAGTCGTTGTTAGCACCTAAACTGGAGAATGTAAATAACAAGATGTAATTTGATTCAAATAGTTAAAAAATTAGAACTAAATCATCAATATGTAAAATAAGTCTCTAGAATATAGTAAAACATTATTGTGAATCTTGCCACACAAATCTGTCTACATGAATCTTCCCCCACCCCAGACACAAATCTACCTAAATGAATCTCCCCCCATAGACATACAAATCTACCTACATGATTCTCAACCCCCCAGATACAGAAATCTACCTACATGAATATCCCCTTACCCCTTACCTACATGAATCCCACCCCCACCGTACACACACATCTAACTACATTAATCTCCCCCCCCCTCGATACATAAATCTACTGGCATGAATCTCCCCCCCCCAACCACACGAATCTACCTACATGAATCACCCCCAGTGACACGAATCTACCTACATGAAGCCAACAGCATGAGCTAACGATACGACGTCACGGTAAGTTCCCTGGAACTCTGCGATGACCACAGCGGACAGACCGTTGCACACGGCGCCAATGTCGGTGTTACCTGATGCATACAATACATCGATTAATTTATACCTCCATTGCTATCAGTATGTTGGTGTTACCGAGGCATACAATACATCGGTTACTTTTTATTTCCATTGTTATCAGTATGTTGGTTTGGTGTTACTGATGCATACAATACATCGATTACTTTTTACTTCCATTGTTATCAGTATGTTGGTGTTACTGATTCATACTTGATTACTTTTTACTTGTTTCTGATGCATACAATACATTGATTACTTTATACTTTAATTGTTATCAGTATGTTCACGTGATCTATTTAAGGAATAGTTTACAATCGTATAAAATGATGTGCGCTCCTTTTTTGTGCGAGTGAGCAAATCTATGTACATATGTGTGTTGTTATAATTGTGAATGTGTGTGTAAGGTTGATCTTTAAAGAATTAAAATAAATTGAAAGAAACCACAACTTACTGGATTCTGTTGATCCACTACTGCCATAAAGATCAGCGCTAAAAATATTTTTTTTAAGGATACAAGATACCCATGTTTTCGATGAAAAAATAATTTTGCTCCCCAAAATTTTTATTTCTTAATTCGGTACTAATACCTTTTATCTATCTAACCCGAACATTTCGGACTTCTACGCCTTACGGTTATCCGTTTATTGCCATGTGAAACATGGTACCCCCCCGGCAAGTTTTCACACTACTACGTGGACAGCGGCTATCTTCGAGCGAGTATTACATCATTTATTGCCCGCGAGGCACCATAAACTTTACAGCAATCTAAGGGCCAAGCACTCGTGTACCCGCTGGTGTAGTGACCTTTTCTTTTGTTCTACAAATAAGTGGGATAAACGTTGTTTTCTACCAAGTAAAATTTGATGTCAAAGTCCATATATGGGCATGTGCGTAAAAATTATGAATGGGAAGAGATTCATTGATACGTTTGACCAATCATACAATAGTACAGTAAATCAAAATAATCTGCGATAGGTTGCAACTAACCACGTGTGCAAGGCAGCCATCTTGTTTCTAGATAAACAAAACAATCACCTGTCTTGTTTGTTTACATCATTAGCGTATACTCTTCTATTTGTTGTTTTAAAGTTATAGAACAACATTAAGTTTAATAATTGAAACTTTACCAACAAATGTTCTGTTGATTGTCACTGGAACACTATTAAACACTGTTTCGTACGCTTTATTATACTAAGCTGAAACAATGCGTCATGGACATGTCTATCAGTTTGAAGAATGTACTAAGTCCATCCCCTTTATCCCCCTCATCCCCTTCTCGCCATTCAACCAACGGCTGTTTTATAATCTAGTTACGGCATGCTGTGATAGGCTTGAACGCGTTCATCAGGCTTTACACCGGACTGTATACGACACATGTGTTAATGTGTATGCCCGCCCATCTCTCCGTACAGGGTTTGCTAGCAACGAATGGAAATACTAGATGGGATAGCTGATAAGCATTCACTTAGGCCTTGTACTTGACCCTATCTACACAGACATGTTATTCACGGTTGAATGAACATTGGTAATCTATGGCTCATCGGTTCTTCACGCACTATCCAGCGGTGGGGTGGGGTGAAGGGGCGTGTCTAACCTCAAGCGTTGTACCCAGCGTTGTGTAGTAGGCTATTATCATAAGGCAATAAACTTGTGTAAGCTACAATAGACATTCTATTGACGTGAGAAGACCGGCTAACAAACAAAACTTAATCTGATTTGATGATAGCTGTTCTGAGAATAACAATCAAATGATAGGATGTTTAAGACTTAACAGTCATTAATTTATTTTCTGTTGTATGCATATTTTCTGCTTACGCAGAAAAATCTATCTAAAACTTACAACATGAATCAACGCGTATTTTATTAGCCAAATGGTTCTTCTACACATAACAAGAAGTCATTTTCTGTTTGCTATAAGAGGAAACGCACAGTGCCTTTTTCTGCCTTTCTTTTCACGTTTTCTCAACTTTGCATTTTTACTCAAAATTCAACATTCAAATCGCTAAGGCTTTGGAACCCTTAGTCTTACAGCACTGAAACATTCCACATGCATTTAGCATTATACCATCTACAAAACTACGTTTGTACATTAAGTTTACTACAATACTTTAGAAAATATCAATACTCATGTTATACCACCCCCTAATTTTTGTACTTAAATTTACGTAAAAATTTGTAATAAAATTTGAGTACAAGCTATCGCAATGAACAAACGTAGAAATGTATAGTTTGGTTTCGTAAATCTAAATCTTTCATCCGCTTTACAAAATTGCTTATGGGAACAAAGCCTTAGCGATTTGAAAAGGTGTTAGTTTTCACACCTTTTCGCGGTTCCCATGGCAACCAGTACTGCTATTGACGGCCACATATTATTTTTGTCAATAGTTTAACAACTACTAACATATGTACTTATTAAATACCCAGAAATGTGTTAAATTAAAAAAAAAATTCTATCCGTGGTGTCTACCCTTAAAGTTAGGAAAAAAAGAAAATTACATTTCTAATTATAATGAAATCGAGTTTTAGTCTTATAAAAATATTTATACTTTTACATTAGAAAATAAATAAAAAATCTCAAGTAAAAAAAAATACTGAATGAGGAGTTGTCATATTGCTATGTTTTGTTGCCGTCTTTGCTAAAGCGACCAACCCCCTAGAATCTAGTGTGATGTCTATCTAGGGCCTAGATTACCCTAGATCCCATTTCAGATAACTCCACTCTAAACTGCTTTTTTTTAAAAAACTGAGCAAACACAAATGGGACGGCATGGTCTAGCGAGTTTCCGGGTAAGTAAGTAGAGTCTTCCACATCAGGGAAAATTCCACACTTTTGCATTATTTATGGAGGTGAATTCTGCTAATTTTTGGCAAACTTTTGGTCAACATTAGGTAATTTTCATTTCATGGAAACAAAAAAAATAATATAAAATTTAGCTTCTCACACTCGTCTAACATAATAACACAAATCCGTCCAACGTCTCAACTAACAATATTAACGACGTCCTTAACAAAACAGTTGAACTAAGACACATTTAGCACCAACACACGCACTAACGTAGTGTACTTACCCAGTAAGCAGCAGGGCGAAATCGTAGCTGTAGGTGGTGTATGCGGCGGTCTGAAGTAGCCAGGATCGGAAGTTGGTTTTACCAGTGGCGCTGTTGACGGTGTTGGTGGTGCCGGTCATGTAGGTGGTGAGGACGTCAGTCGTCTGTCAAGTTATACAACAATGTTTGAAATCATAATCAAAAGTTTGATTAATATAGTACACAACATGGAAAAAGAAAAATTGGAAACTGTAAATTATTTTAATACTTGTTTTATAACTACATTTCAACTTAAATCTTAAACTATAATGAACAAACCGATCGATACAACAAATAGGCTTGTGTGAGCATGCAGTAAAATATAACAAAGAAACATGAGTAGACGTTACCAAAAAGTCCAGTTTACGTAGACGTAGCTCAACGTTCACACCGTTGGGACTAAGGGTAGACAACATCTTGTTCACCTTAATTACGGAACACAATTCAAGATTTTAATAAAATGTAAGCCAGCGTCGCGGGTATAAGTTTGTTATTAGGGGTATATGGGAATACATTATGTATATATATATATATATATATATATATATATATATATATATATATATATATATATATATATATATATATATATATATATTCTAAGACATTCTAAGAAATTGAGATGGCGGTACACGAATTCCAAAACTTTTGAACTGAAAACATCAATAGCCAACCTAGCGTACCGTCAGCAGTGGTAATAGATTAAGTGTAACATAGTGGTCACATTGGGGATAATTGGAGTGTTATTATCCCACCACTCACCGCTTCCCACCCCCATCAGCACTTCCCACACCTCACCACTTCCCACCCTTCCCACTCTCCTCCCCCATACCTCATGCCTTATTTCGATAGTTGTCAAAAAAGCAGCTATGCAGTAACATATATTTTGCGATATTAGTATTATTTATGCTTGTCGGCCTTATGGCTGTCGGCCTTATGTCTTGTCGGCCTTATGTCCTGTCGGCCTTATGTCCTGTCGGCCTTTTGGCTGTTTGCCTTATTGCTGTCGCCTGTATGTCCTGTCGGCCTTATGGCTGTCGGCCTTATGTCCTGTCGGCCTTATATCCTGTCGGCCTTATATCCTGTCGGCCTTTTGGCTGTCGGCCTTTTGTCCATGTCGGCCTTTTGTCCTACACCCCTCGGATACGCCTCAAGTGCAAGCACTACAATCTAATCACTAGAACGTATAGAACTCCGTACCTCAGCCAAGGCGTACTGAACATCTTTATTTACGTTGTCCTGTGCTAGTTGTCTTCTGTCACCAGCGTAGGTAGATGGGATGTAATTCATGTAGCTGGTATATAAAAACAGAGCAAATATTTCAGTATGTTACAAATCTGATGTTGGTATACAGTGGTAAAGTCATTCCGATCGTTCAGTGTCTAAAATCATTCATTAGTTAGATAAATGATTAGGACCTCAAACAAAATCTATAAATAGGAAATGTGGTAGACATTATCGTATGCATTAATTTAATGTATAAGCTAAACGAACTATAGCATAGTTTTCTTTGCAGCAGTTTCTGAAACTCAGCTGGTTCTATCAGCTGTGTGGAGAAAGGGGCCTAGTACATGGACAACATCTAGGAGAGAATGGCCCGATACATGGGCAAGATCTGAGAGTGAGAAGGGCCCGATACATGGACAACACCTGAGAGAGGGGGGTGTCTGATACATGGGCAACATCTGGGAGAGAGGGGACCTGATACATTGGCAACATCTGGGAGAGGGGGGGGGGGGTCTGATACATGGGCAACATCTGGGAGATGTTACCCATGTATCAGGCCCCCTCTCTCCCAGATGTTACCCATGTATCTTCCAATAGTGTATTAGACTATGGAGCCATTTATACATGTACGTATATATGTACGTATTATAACAACCAAATTGTCTTAGCAGTGTCTCACAACGCTTGTGTGTGACGTTATGCCAACACTGTCATGTGTACACATTTTTTTTTTATGACGAGAGAAATAGTTCGACTCACGATGTCGTAATTTTGTTTTCAACTGCCACGTACACCTCCACAACATAAGACTGAGCTGAAATTATGTTTAAAAATATGTTATAAATACTTAATTGCGATAAAAATTTAAAATGAAACACAACCAAAAAAAGAAAGTTTAAGATTGACTTAAAGTCGTTTTTTATGGTATACAATTAAATCATATCATAGTAGACGCAAATGTTAGAATTGTACAACATTTTGGAAAACATCTAGGCACACCTTAATTTTACAAAACTACTTTATAAATGCTTGTGTTCTTTGAAAAAATGTAAATAGCGGAAATTACTATTTTTAGTACACGAACTTACTCAAAATTTTTAAGATACACAGAACTAGATCTTTAATAAAAAATTAACTTGAATAGAATTTAGTGTATAAAAGACAGTACAAAGTTGCACTTACCTGTAGTACTGTGGAGCACAGCGAACAGGAAAAAAGCCAAGGATGGAGCACTTGGGATCATTCTCGTTAGGTAGATGAAGTCTAAGATAATAACATATAGTAGGATGCATAGCAGAATAGAAAGCGTCAGTTGATTTCATATAACACGCTACGTGTCGTCAAACAAACAAAAATTACGACACATCCAGTAACAGTTGTATGTCATTCTAGCTAGATGTCAAAACAACATATTTATCTGGTAAAAAAATATATTTTAAAATATGGTTGTAGTCAAACCAAAATAAAAATTATTAAAATATAAAACATGAAGGTTGTAATGTTATACAAAATTAAAATAAAATAAACTTAAAAGATGTTAGCTTCTTTTTAAAATTAATTTCAAGCTAAACAAATATGATTTCACGGTGATGCGAAAAATAAAATTAATATATATATATATATATTAATATATATATATTAATTATAATATTATTAATTTTTATTATAACATCATTATAATATATATATATATATATATATATATATATATTATAATGATGTTTATAATTATGTTTATATATATATATATATATATATATATATATATATATATATATATATATATATATATATATATATATATATATATATATATATATATATATATATATATAGGCGTATATATATATGCGTATATATATATAAATATATATAAATATATATATATATATATATATATATATATATATATATATATATATATATATATATATACATGTATCGAGAAAGCATACATCTATTCAAGTAGTGTAACGCAGCTTATAGCTCACATTATCGGCTGGCTTGTTTATATACAGAATATTGAGGAAGTTAACATCACGTGGCGTCTAGATATAAATAAAATGTATTATTATTAAAAATCTTTATGTTTATTCTAAGACAACGTCTGATTGGTCCATGGTTCGACGAATTATGCATCCTGGATTCATAGATTTAAAGATAAATATTCCTTATATGGAAGAGGGTCTGTTAACAGTACCATGTTTGGGCATTGCTAATTTACATGAATCTTGTGATACACATACATGGGTTTACTCATATATGCATATATATATATATATATATATATATATATATATATATATATATATATATATATATATATATATATATATATATATATATATATATATATATATATAATGCTTTTTGTATGGTTTTCAATGTATCCCTTAAATCTTTCGTTTGTAGTTTTTCTACTGTTTCCAGGTGTGATTTTATATATATATATATATATATATATATATATATATATATATATATATATATATATGTATGTATGTATATATATATATATATATATATATATATATATATATATATATATATATATATATATATATATATATATATATATATATAGATCTATATATATATAAACGTTAAAAGACCTGAGCACAAAAGGAAACTCGACAGCATTTTTATGACTTAAACAGAACGACTGTATACTTTTTACTGTAAAATTCATTTGTAACAAAACTAATATTATGAAGTTCTCGTTTAAGAAAAAATTATATAAAAATGTTCATTAACAGTTAATTTGAAAAACAATAAACAAAATAACACTTATAATTGACGGTTAAAACCTGAAATACAATAATTGGTAGCCCAGAACCGAGAATTAGAAAAAAAGTTTGTAATTTAAAAGTTAGAAAAAAAATGAATGAACAGAAAGACTAAGTGTTAAATCACGTATGCGTTTAATAATAAATACAAGTTATTTTCAATGTTTATGAAAGTTTCAACGTCAAGCTTTAAAAAAAACTGGTCTCCAAGTCTCTTAACTATGTCTAGGAAAATTCTAATGTCATCGTTTGATAGCAGTAGTTCGTTGAACCCAATCAGGATGTGAAAGTTTCCAGTCTCTGGTGATGTCACAAACAGTGAACCATAAAATGTGAATCGTGCACCGTGAACCGTGTATTAATACTTCATCAAAGACTGACAGCTAAACGGTACATGGTTACAAGAGAGCCTGAGGGTGCTTTTATTCTCCCATGGGACGGAGTGGTCTAGCGGTAGAGAGCTGGACTGCTAACCCGTAAGTCTCGAGTTCGAATCCGGGTTAAAGTCAGTAGACCGTCCCTGAGTTCACCCAACTCTGATGGGTACCTTACTCACGTTAGGGAAAGTAAAAGCGGCTGGGCATAGTGCTGACCACACTATCTATTCATATGCCGAGGTCACAGAAACAAGTGAACTCTACTTCACTTGCCCCATAGACCGTCAGGTTTGAAAGGGAAACTTTTTTACTTTACACTCGGGAACTTAGTTTTGTTGTTTTTGATGCCGGATGTCTAAAAGTGTATGTTTGTTAATGCGAAATACTAATATTTAAATTTTTAAAACGCCAATAACCTTTTCTTTAAAATTTAAAAGTGTAAAGCGAAATTTAAAAATTTAAATAATTACAAGCTCTTATTTAACTTGTCTCCTCTGTCTTTTGACGAACTTCTTCCGTCATTGAACTAAACTTGCGAGCGTAATTTCGACCACTTCTAGCTGACAGATTAATTTCAAACTGGGCACGTATGTTAAGACCCGATAGCAATCTAATCTGATATTAAAATTTAATTAATTGGATGTATAATTAATTTATAAAGAATTCAACTTAAATCAAAATCGATTATATTTACTTTATAAATGAATTAATGATGTACAATATAAATGTAAAATTCAAAACTTTTAAGTAATTATCTTGAAATTCGGGGAGTGACTTATAGGGCTGACACAATATATCCTCGGAAAATTTGGGCTTGACTTACAGTAGAATAGGACGCATAAACCATGACACTAAAATTTAAAAAGCTGATGTAATTTTAAGTCGCTGAGAAAGATGGTGTCCGTCATTCAGGATAGCCTGCAGCGCTTTTGTTTGTTAACACAAAACTTGACAAGCGTGAAGACAAAATGTATATTGAAGGTAGAAGGATGTTAAGCGAAGATAAATAAGGAAGAGAGAAGAATGTTAAGTACTAGATGTAGATGGTTGACGTTTGGTGTGGTATGACAATGCATGTTTAATTAGATAGCCTTGCCAAGTGGGAACTTTACAATTTTATGCAAGTTCATTTAAGACAATCAAACAAGTATTTGATGAAATTTTAAATAATACCAGATTTAACTGTCATATATTATAATAAATATAAAAATATTCGATTTGCGCAGTTAAATGGAAAAAAAACTATTAGGGGAGGGGGAGGGAAGATACATACATTTTTACTGAAAAAGATTTAAAATGAACTCACAGATTCCGGATAATTCTTAAATCTACATTAACATTAAGATGGTGTTTATGTTATCATTTCGTTGTAATAACAGTCATATTTGATTAACAATTAATACAGACGCATTCATGGTAGCTAAACTAAGGTTTTAGTTGTGTAGCTCAGTGCTTCTTACAGATAGTTGTTAGCGTAGAATCAAGTGGGGTTTAATGAGTGCTCAATACTAAAAGAAAAATACTAGACCATAATGTCAAAATGTTTTGTTCCATGATATATATTTACGATGCAGTGTTCTGTATTTAAATGTTTAGTGCAGTAGTCGATAGCTAAGTATGAGGTGCTGTGGCCTTAGCTTAATACTTTGTGGAATGGTCTGTAGCTAATAATTTTGTGGAATGGTCTATAGCTAAGTATTTAGTGGTATGGTCTATGGCTAAGTATTTAGTGGTATGGTCTATAGCTAAGTATTTAGTGGAATGGTCTATAGCTAAGTATTTAGTGGAATGGTCTATGGCTAAGTATTTAGTGGAATGGTCTATGGCTAAGTATTTAGTGGAATGGCCTATAGCTAAGTATTTAGTGGTATGGTCTATAGCTAAGTATTTAGTGGAATGGTCTATAGCTAAGTATTTAGTGGAATGGTCTATGGCTAAGTATTTAGTGGTATGGTCTATAGCTAAGTATTTAGTGGAATGGTCTATGGCTAAGTATTTAGTGGTATGGTCTATAGCTAAATATTTAGTGGAATGGTCTATAGCTAAGTATTTAGTGGAATGGTCTATAGCTAAATATTTAGTGGAATGGTCTATAGCTAAATATTTAGTGGAATGGTCTATGGCTAAATATTTAGTGGAATGGTCTATAGCTAAGTATTTAGTGCAATGATCTATAGCTAAATACTTAGTGGAATGGTCTATAGCTAAATATTTAGTGGAATGGTCTATAGCTAAGTATTTAGTTGAATGGTCTATAGCTAAATATTTAGTGGAATGGACTATAGCTGAATATTTAGTGGAATGGTCTATAGCTAAATATTTAGTGGAATTGTCTAAAGCTAAATATTTAGTGGATGGGTCTATAGCTAAATATTTAGTTGAAGTGTCTATAGCTAAATATTTAGTGGATGGTCTATAACTAAATATTTAGTGGATGATCTATAGCTAAATATTTAGTGTATGGTCTATAGCTAAATATTTAGTGGAATGGTCTATAGCTAAATATTTAGTGGAATGGTCTATAGCTAAATATTTAGTGGAATGGTCTATAGCTAAATATTTAGTGGAATGGTCTATAGCTAAATATTTAGTGGAATGGTCTATAGCTAAAAATATCGCGCTGTGGTCTACAGAAAATATACTAAAGACTTTTGTTTGTAAATTGTTAGAAGAAAAAATGTTCAGTATACGCAGTAAATAAAAAAAACAGAAGTAAATGAATGAAGTGGGTGGTAGTCTTAGATGTGAAATCGTTGTGTATAGACGAATCAAAGAACGAATAGATCAGATATTCAGATGAGATAAACCGGGGGAAAATCCAATCCGTTTAATAAATACAGGTTTGTAAATGAAGAATGTCACAGAACTTGTTATTGATGTTGTTAATGTGTTTTCAAGATTGTTTCAGATACGGCAGGTGTTTTGTTTTAGTTCAGCTAATGGATTTTCCTTGAAATCCTGTTAGAAGTGTTTGTATATTTCGTGTCCTTATAGTTAGCGGACCATGATAAGTAAAGAATTGCACCGAATATTATCTATTAGATCTGTTTTTTCTAACACTCAAATGTTGTCTGTCATGT